AGCGGGGGGAGAGAGAGAGAGAAAGAGAAACATTGATGTGAGCGAGACACATCGATTGGTTGCCTCCCACACATGTCCAGACATGGCCAGGAATTGAGCCAGCAACTGAAGTATGTGCCCTTGACCGGAATCAAACCCTTGACCCTTCAATCCATGGACTAATGCTCTAACCAGTGATCCAAACCGGCTAGGGCAGGTCTTGTTTTCTTTTTTTTAATCCAATCTGAAAATCTCTGCCTTTTAAAAAATTGACATGTAGCATCCTATTAGTTTCAGGACTACAGCATACTATTCATATGTATCTATATTGAAAAATGATCACCACAACAAATGTAGTTAACATTGATCACCAGAAATAGTTACAAGTTTTTTTCCTTGTGATGAGAACTTTTAAGATTTATTCTCTTAGCAAGTTTCAAATATACAATATAGTATCATTAACTATAGTCACCATGCTATACAATCTCTGCCTTTTTAACTGAGGTGTTTTGACTATTTACATTCAATGTGATTATTGAAATGGTTAAGTTTAAGCCTTCTCATTTGTTATTTTTTAATCTGCGCTATCCTTCCTTCCTTCTGCCTTCTTTTGAATTAATCATCTTTTAAATGATTTAAAATTTCTGAATTATTCTTATGATTTTCTCTTCTTTGTTGGCTTATTAGCTGTAACTCTTATTTTAGTGATTGCTTTAAGGTTTATAGCTTACATCTTTTAACTTATCATAACCTATCTTCAAGTGATATACAATTTCACATGCTTTTACCTTATAAAAGCATTCCTTCATTTCTTCCCTCCAAGCCTTTATGCTATTGTTGTCATACATTTTATGTTGTAAAACTCACACTATATTGCTATCATTTTGTTTAAACAAACAGCTTATTATTTTTTTAAAGATTTGAATAATAAAACAAATGTTACATGTTTACCCATGTAGTTACCATTTCTAGTGCTCTTCCTTCTTATTATTTATTTTGTATTGATTTGAGAGAGAGAGAAGAAACATCAGTTTGTTATTCCAGTTATTTATGTATTCATTGGTTGATTTCTTGTCTGTGCCCTGACTGGAAATCGAACCCCCAGCCTTGGCATATTAGGACAACACTCTAACAAACTGAACTACCCAGTCAGGGCTCTTTCTTTCTTTCTTTCTTTCTTTCTTTCTTTCTTTCTTTCTTTCTTTCTTTCTTTCTTTCTCTCTTTCTCTCTTTCTCTCTTTCTCTCTTTCTCTCCTCTCTCTCTCTCTCTCTCTCATCTCTCTCTCATCTCTTTAAAATCCTCACCTGAGGATATTTTCCTCATTGGGTTTTAGAGAGGAAGGCAGGGAGGGAGGAAGAAAGGGAGAGAGAAACATTACTGTGACAGAGACACATCGATTGCCTCCTGCACTTGCCCCAACCAGGGCAGGGCTTGAACCTGCAACCTAAGTACGTGCCCTTGCCTGGGATTCAAACCCAAGACCCTTCAGTGGGCAGGCCAGTGCTCTAACCATTGTACTACCAGCCAGGGCCAGCCTAGGACCTTTCTGATGGTGACATTGCTAAAACACTGGTAGGAGTATAAAATGGTACAGCCCCTAAAACAGGGATTTTGGGGATAAGTGGACAGATTTACTTTTGGTCCAGTAATCCTACTATTAGGAATCTACTAAAAATAAACTTCCATAAATGACACATGCATAAAATTCTGTATTGCCACATCATTTGTAGCAGCAGAAGATTAGAGACAACCCAGATGTCTATCAATAGAGGCCTAATCGTATTACTGGAACTCCCATACAATGGAGTACTGTGCAGTGCTTTACAAACAAGCCATGATTGTGTCCATGTACTCATGTATAATGATGGAAAAAAAGGTGTGGAATGGTTTATAAATGGAGAAACGGGAAATATAGGGTGGATAAAAGTAGGTTTACAATTGCGAGTATAGGAAACACAGAGCTTATACTTACATTATTATTTATTAATGTATTATTTTCCATATTAACAACTGTGTAAACCTACTTTTTTTTTTAATATATTTTTTATTGATTAAGAAATTACATATGTGTCCTTGTCCCCACGATACCCTCAACCCCCCCCACTCTTGCCCTCCCCCCCCCTCCAGTTCCATCCTTGGTGTGGCAAATGGTGAGAGTTCCTTTTTCTTCTTCCTCTTCTTAAAGAATACCTTTCAGCATTTCATATAATGCTGGTTTGGTGGTGATGAACTCCTTTAGCTTTTTCTTATCCGTGAAGCTCTTTATCTGACCTTCTATTCTGAATGATAGCTTTGCTGGATAAAGTAATCTTGGTTGCAGTGTAAACCTACTTTTACCTCACCCTGTGTGTACTTACTTGCTTATTTTGCTAAAAGAAATATTAGAAGGATAAAACAGACATTAATAAAAATGATTACTTGGGATGAGGAATAAAAGCCAGGCCTTTCTGAGTACCTCTTTATAGAGTTTTGACTTTTAAACCATTGATACTTTATTCAGATTATTCAGATTGAAAAAATTAAAAGAGGGGAATAAAAGCAAACAGTTCAGTTTGAAATCATGAAATAAATGAACTTAATTTTTAAATTATTTTTTCTTTTTAAAAATGAACTTGATTTTTTTTTTACAGAGAGGAAGGGTGAGGGATAGAGAGTTAGAAACATCAATGAGAGAGAGACATCGATCAGCTGCCTCCTGCACACCCCCCACTGGGGATGCGCCCGCAACCAAAGTACATGCCCTTGGCCGGAATCGAACCTGGGACCCTTCAGTCCACAGGCCGACGCTCTATCCACTGAGCCAAACCGGTTAGGGCAAAAATGAACTTGATTTTATATAAAGTTGATACTATAACTACACACAGGAAAGAATTATTTCAAATGACTTTTGAACATAGTACTCCTTAGTGGGATATAGTTTAAAGCCAAGCCAAATAAATTTAAAAGTTGCAAAGAAATCTTAAACTAGTATGCAGTTTTTAAACTATTTTATGTATATTTTAGGAAAAAACAAATAAGTAAATTAATTAGGAACTAAGATTTTCATTGTAAAAACAAAGAGATACAAATATGATACCAAATAAATTATTTAAAAACCTCTATAGAGATACATCACAGACTAAATAACCCTGAGTGCCATAGAGGAGATTCCTGTTCATTCTTTAGGTAGCATTAAGGAAAGAGCTAAAGATACTTCAAACTATAAACATATGGATACACTTAAAATGAACAAAGGTCTGGAAAAAATGTGTAATGTGATTGCAGTATTAATGATAAATAATTTGAATTTTAGCATTTTTGTGTTTTTAGGACTTTTGTGCAATTCTAAAGTTGTATTAGTGTTTACATTTTATAACTAAACTTTGTTTCTATGAAAATGATATTAAGATGAATAGTCAACTGGCAATAAAACTTATGTACAAAATGTTTAAAGTATATTTATTCATTGTTTTTTCTTTTATTCTAGTTACTCTTTCTGGAAATGGAGAAAATGGTAAGACACTTTTAGTCTCGGTTTAAGTAGACTTCTTATGATATCATAATTGCAACCTTCCTACTTTTTATTTAGTGATGACTATTTGTGCTTTTATTTTTAGAAAGACAATATATATTTTAAGCTTAAGTAACTAAAATGAGATGTAATACTGGCTTTATTTCTATACATTCAATATATTCTTTTTTAAAAAAAACATATGTTTATTGATTTCAGAGAGGAAGAGAGAGGGAGAGAGAGATAGAAACATCAGTGATGAGAGAATCATTGATTGGCTGCTTCCTGCATACCCTCTATTAGGGATCGAGCCCACAACATGGGCATGTGCTCTTTACCGGAATCGACCCTGGGACCCTTCAGTCCAGAGGCCATCGGTCTATCCACTGAGCCAAACCGGCTAGGGCTCAATATATTCTTCTTTGCACTATTAGTAAGTTGTTATTTTGTAAGGCACCTAGTACCCAAACTTCTTTGGTATACTTATATATATATTTCTGCCTTGTATAGACTTTAGGATTCTATAGTAATAGTTTAGATATTTAATATCAGTTTTAGCTAGGGTGGAGGAAGGAATTTTATTTTCTTTTGTTTGTGCATTTGTTAAAAATAGCACTGACAATTAGTTAAATAGGCAGACTGTAAAAATGAAGATTGCTAGTTCATTTTGAAAAGGAATTAAAGTTTTTATAATGACTAGTCAATGACAATATTTTGAGAAGAATATTTGCTCAAAATTCACTGAGATAAAATAAATTTTTCTACCTATTGAGATCAAATTTCAAAAATAAAATTTGATTTGAGATATGGAAATCCAGAGGATTTCTAGAACAGTTGAATAGTTAGAAATTAATATTTATCCTTATTACTGGAAATAATTAGGCATTCATTATGTAAATCTCAAGTTACCTTTGAATCTGGTTTCTCATTAACAGAACAAACTCAATCTTGGTAGGCATGCTTTTCTTCCTTTAAATCAGTACTGTTTTCCATATGTTGAATACGCACATACAGAATGCAGAGAATTTCTGAAATTCTTACAACAGAATTTTAAACTTGTATCATTATTTCTTGGGGCTATTTTCCCCATGTCTTCCAAAGAGTGTTTTGATGATGTTTTTTGTTTGCTTATTAGTCTTTAATTCAGTTATAGGTGATATTTGAATCAGATATTTTGATTTATAGGTTCAGTTTTTCTTTCAGCTTTGATTTAATTTGCTTAGGTAACTTTTACTTTATATATTTCTTCCAGCATGTATATGACCAGAAGTTTGTTATTAGCAATCAAATTGATTCAAACTTACTTAAAAGCAATATTTTTTATTCTTTACATCACATTTTTTAAAATATGTTTTTATTGATTTCAGAGAGAAAGGGAGAGAGAGAGAGAGAAACATCAATGATGAGAGAGAGTCATCTATCGACTGCCTCCTGCGCTCCCCCTACTGGGGATCAAGCCCACACCCAGGTATGTGCCCTGACTGGGAACCGAATCATGACCTCCTGGATCATAGGTTGATGCTCAACCACTGAGCTACACTATCTAGGCTGCATCATAATTTTGATGCTGGAGGGGCAAGTCTCTAGTTGCAACTTGAACCCAGAGCCAAGAGGTTATTTGGGCTTGGAGCAGAAAAGAATTCAACACTAGAGCCAGAGAAGAGGTTTAAGTGGAAAAGCAGGTTTTATTGAGTAGAGAGGACAAGCAAGGAAAACCACTCTACTGGACTCTCCTCACCAAAGAAGGACGATAGATCCTAACCATCTCTACAGGTTGACTTACATCTGTTTGTAGTTTCTATGGAAAATTGCTGGTATGGGGAAATAGAGAGTGGGAAAAGGTTGAGATTAACTCTGACCTTTACAAGGTATATTTTGTCGCATTGTGTTTTCCCTTTATGGCAGTGGTTCTCAACCTTCCTAATGCCATGACCCTTTAATACAGTTCCTCATGTTGTGGTGACCCCCAATTTCATTGTTACAAATTGAACATAATTAAAGCATAGTGATTAATCACAAAAACAATATGTAATTATATATGTGTTTTCCGATAGTCTTAGGCGACCCCTGTGAAAGGGTCGTTTGACCCCCCAAAGGGGTCGCGACCCACAGGTTGAGAACCACTGCTTTATGGTATGTGTAAATGATAAGGTATGGGTGAGTAGTTGTTAATCAATCTTTGCAGGAATTTTCTTTGTCCAGAGGCTCTTCATGATCTGCTTGCATCTCCAGTCAGCTGAGTTTCGTGTCAGACAGCATGTAGCAGGCCCCTGACTTAACTTTGTTTGACTTTAGTTAATTTATATAGCTCTCATGCCCCTTTCCTATATCAACTTGATAATAATAATGATCTGTTAAGTACTTACTATATTACCGGCATCATACTGAGAGATTTATTTTACCTGTTTTGTAACTGAGGGTTACAATTTTTAAAAGCAAAAGCCATTTTGTTTTTATTCTTATGGAGAGCTGAAATATTCTGAAAATATGTTAAATGTTTTTTAACAGATTTTTGGAGTATATTGTTTTATATTTTGGTCGTAGTGTAAGTAACTAAATGACCAAGTTTAAAGTAATTCTAGGTTACCATATATTTCAAAGCTATATGATATTCTGTAGATGAGGATTAATAGACTTGATTGAATATCAGGCCAGGCAAAAGTATAAATCAGTGAAGTGAGTTAAGAAGTTGACAGTTGGTATAACAGTAGGAGACTGATCTCCAGCATGCTTTTCCAAAGGAAAAAAAACAAGTAAAGAAATTGTATTGAATCCACTGGGTAGAACACTGGAGGGAACAGAGATCATACAAAATACCGATTTTGAGAATCCAGGATTTTCAATGAGGATTACAATCAGTTTTAATGGAAATGAAAATAAGGCAAATTTGAACATAAGAGGAGGTTGTGGTATCTGTCCTGGCGCTCAGCACATTTGGTTGTGCCCAGGGGGTCCAGAAAAAAGGAAGGTACAAGTTATCCAGACACTTCAAGAGTATGTTATCATAGATGCAAAAAGACAGCTAGTCTCAGTTAAGGTAAAGTATGACCTTGTCAGTGAATATACAGGCCTAGGACATAACTGCCCACCATAACTGCTTTTAGTTAAAGTTTAATTTCAGACCATCCTTTGTGGTTACTTTAGGTCTCTGAGTTGACAATTTTTTATTTTATTTTAAAAGAAACTTTTTTAAAACCAAAAACATAAGGAAAAATAACCTCAGACCAAAGGAAGAACAGGATTTATTATGTGCCAGGCATGGTCGTGTTTTGCATTTATTATATTAGCTCATAAATATTAAGCACCTAACTTTAATGAATCTAGTGGTTTATTGAAGTCTGAGCAAATTATTTGGGGAGTAGAGTATGAAGGGGTAATGAATTCATAAGGTAATGGAGAAGGTTTTTGTGGAAGAAGTAGTATTTGATTTGAAATTTAAAATGGGTAGAACAAACTTTTTAAAAAATATATTTCTATTGATTTTAGTGAGAGAGGAAGGGAGAGGGATAGAGAGATAAAAACATCGATGAGAGAGAAACACCGATTGGCTGCCTCCTGCACATCCTCTACTGGGAATTGAACCTGAAACCCGGGCACTTGGTTCATGGGTCAACGTTCAACGAGTGAGTCACACAGGTTGGGCATACTTGTGTTTTTTAGTGGGTTTGTGATGTTGAATTCTAAACTTAGAATTTAAGTACCTGCTGGATAGGTCTTGCTTCTTGTGGAAATCATTCTCATGTCTTCCAAATAGAAAACTACAGAACCCAACAGTGAGTTAATATTTGGAGATAAAGATGTTGTAGTCTTACACTAATTTATTTGGGGAAGAGTTATGACAGAAATTCAAAGTGGCTGAAATTTTTGATTACCCTATGTTGAAAAGAGAGTGAAATTTAGGATATCTTTCTGAACAATCCAAGAATTAAATTTTTCTAATGTACTGATTATTTGCTGTGTTATGAACTTTCTTTATTTTCAGTTCATATTTCATGTTCATAGTAATAGAACATTTATTTAATATTCATAGCACTGCATTTAATGTTCATAGTAATGGAATCTGGTTTAACTCATTGAAAATCTATCTTTTAGAAGAGCTTGAAATGCAACCAGTGAAAGAGGTGTTTCAACTTATATATCTTCAGCAACTCAATAAAATCAAATCTCATCTCAGACTAATATTACAGAAACTGTAAACCATGCTCTTAAATACAGAATGCTCCTTCATATCTGTAATATTACATCATGCAGATAAAGGACTTTATATATTTTATATCTTTAGTGTGTTTTAATTATTTTTTATTAGGTTAAACCTCCTGACCCTAAATATTGTGTTTTAATCTAATACTTTTTCCTGTTTTCACCAGGATTCAATGAAATATTATTTGTTTTTATTTACCAGGAAAGGCCGTTGTTTACCTTGTGGCTTTTCATCTGTTCTTTGTTATGTTTGTATGGTCCTATTGGATGACAATTTTCACCTCTCCCGCTTCCCCCTCCAAAGAGGTAAATTTAATGTTGGTAAATTGCCAAATGCTGTAACTATGGAAATATTTTCCCTGTGTTACCTTTGTTAAAGCTTTATTATATAGTGCATTTGTTCTGTTTCCATTCATGGATCCTGCTTGGTAATTCTGCATTGTGGATGACTCATAAGCCTATTCTCAGATACAACTCTATTGGCATAGCATAGTTAAAGAGGAATGATGTGTTAAAGTTTAGCTGTACTTATACAGTGGGGCCTTGACTTACGAGTGTCCCGACTAACGAGTTTTTTGAGATACCAGTTGTCTCTCGGCTAACTTTTTGCATTGAGTTGATAGAGTAATTTGAGTTAACGAGCTCCTTAATGAGCTCGGTCTCTGAACGAATTAAACTCGTAAGTGAAGGCCCCACTGTATTCTTCTGCCATGTTATATTTTCTTAAAGACATACTTATGTTACTGGAGTAAAAAAATCTTAAGGGACAGAATGAAGTTAGAAAAGTAGGTTTTGTTTTTAGAAATCTTTTAAACATATTTCTCAGGTCTGAATGAGTATGCTACAACTAAAGAGTTGATTTGATTGTGGGAATAAATTGTCTAGGACAGTGGTTCTTAACATTACTAATGCCGTGACCCTTTAATACAGTTCCTCATGTTGTGGTGACCCCCAACCATAAAATTATTTTCGTTGCTACTTCATAACTGTAATTTTGCTACTGTTATGAATCGTAATGTAAATATCTGATATGCAGGATGTATTTTCATTGTTACAAATTGAACATAATTAAAGCATAGTGATTAATCACAAAAACAATATGTCATTATATATGGGTTTTCCGATGGTCTTAGGCGACCCTTGTGAGAGTGTCGTTCGACCGCCAAAGGGGTCATGACCCATAGATTGAGAACCGCTGGTCTAGGGTATTGCTTGTTACACCTTCATTTGGCTAGTGTTTCTTCTAGTTGAAGGTTCTATCTGGAAAATAATGTGAGTGAACGTTTACATAGAGTAAGTTTCAAGACCAGTGTGTCTCTCTTGCCTTGACATTGCCTGAATTCACCTTTACCTGTAATTTAATATAGCTGGATGTTTAATATATTCCCTAGAGTTAGGATCGTCTGAGTTTGGTTTTTCTGCTGTAACATATTACTTAATGAATCTGAGCCTTAGTTTCTCATTGGAAAATGAAGTTAATAATAGTGCCTATCTCTGTAAGATGTTTTTGTGAGAATTAAATGAGATTCACTCATGTAAAGCTTTTGATATAGTACCTGCCACATGATTAGCACTCAGATATTAGCTGATGATGACAATGTAATTATTTCTCTTCATAATTCATTAAATTTATAGACCAGATGTTTAAAATGATCAACTTCCACTTAACTTTTTATAGAATAATATATATGTAGAAAAATATACATACCATAAGTGTACACTTGATGAATTTTCACAAACTAAACACACTTGAGTGACCACCACTCAGGTAAGAAGCAGAACATTACCAGCTTCCCGTAGCTTCATGCTCCCTTTCACTAACCCACTTCATGGGAAGCCACTCCATTAGCACTGATTAGTTTTGCCTAGTATTTCATGTAGATGGGGTCATACAGGACATATACTTTGTGTGTGGCTTCTTTCATTAACATCCTATTTGTGAGATTTGTTCGTACTGTTGTATACAATTGTGGGAAATTCATTCTCATTATTTAGTATTTAGTTGTGATCTATAACACAATTTATATACCTCGTCTGCTGTTGATGGGTACAGACGTTTGGATAGCTTCTAGTTTAAGGTTACTACAAATAGTGCTGCTGTGAACATTCTAGTGCATGGACAAATGCATATACATACCCACATACATATGTGCATACATATATAGTTCTTTTGGGTAGATGCATAGGAATAGAATTGCTGGATCATAAGTTATATATACATTCGTCATTAGTAGATAATGCCAATTTTTTTTGTCCATTTTCTTATTGTGTGCTTTTGTTTTAAGAGGTATTATAAAACATTAATAAAACAGTGTTTTCTTCAAGTACATTCTTCAGACATTGGTAATAGTCAACCCTTAAATTTATGCCATCCATAAGTTGAGAAAAGAGCCTGATTTTACTTAATCAATCACTTGTCGTGATGGCTGTTGAAACATAGCATACATGAGAATTTAGTTCTCATTATGGAAAATAAAAATTAGAATGAGAAAAAGCAATTGGTAATACTTTTAAGAAGCAGTATGGTATAGAGGTTAAGAACTCAGACTAGCTCCAGACTGACCAGGTTTAACTCTTATCTCTGCTACTGAGCAGTTGTGTGATGACAGAGACTTTGCTTAGCTGTCTGTAGCTCAGACCTCTCCCTTGTAAAGTGAGGATGACAGTACTACATACCTATGGGATTCTTTTAAGGGTTGAATCAAGTAATATATGTGATTAATAAATGTATTGTAATATATACTGAATGGCCAGATTATTATGACTCCCTGACGTTTGTAGGCTAATTAGCTATAATTTCGCGCTCAAGTTACTAGAGGGCCAAACCATTATAAACGTCAGAAAAGCACAACATACCTAAGTATTGTTGCTGATCAAGTTCATCCTATCATGTTGATGGCGTCTCCAAATGGAGATGGCTTCTTCCAACAAGACAATGCGCCATGCCACAGTGCTCGTATTGTGCAGGAGAGCTTTCAAGAACATGAGGGAGACTTTACCTTGCTTGGGTGGCCCCCACAATCACCAGATCTCAATCCAATTGAGCATTTGTGGGACCAAGTTAAAAGAGCCATCAGGCAGCTGGTTCCACAACCATCAAATCTCACAGAACTGGGCAGTGCTGTTCATCAGGCATGGTGTCAGATTCCTTGCATCACCTTTCAACATCTCATGGAGTCAATGCCAAGAAGAATCGCCGCAGTATTGAAGGCAAAAGGAGGCCCAATGAAGTACTGCTGTGGTGGTCATAATAATCTGACCGGTCATAATAATATGGCCACTCAGTGTATAATTAATACTATACTAGTAAAGTGCTTCCAAGAATGCCTAGGACACAATAACTGTCATCTAAATGCCATTATCTTCTTTTCTATTGGTTGTTTTTGGCACCCATTTAGCCTTCTGGCCAGGGCTTAAGCTTTTATATCCACTTCTCCCCTATTTCCACAAGTTTAGCTGCCTGTCCAATTATGCATCCAGTGTCCCTGCTGTGCACATCCTGCCTTCCTTGTCATGACTCTATTATCTAGTATTGTAATTGGTGTTTTACTTGTTTATATTACCCTATGGGTGCAATGTGCAAAAAAAAACCCAACAGAAACGAAGATAATGGCATTTAGATTGCACTTACTGTGTCCTTAGCATTCTTGGAAGTACTTTATAGTATTAACTAGTAGCCCGGTGCATGAAATTCGTACACATTAAAAGGGAATTAATTGCCCTGACTGGTTTGGCTGAGTGGATAGAGCATCGGCCTTCGGACTCAAGGTTCCTGGGTTCAGTTCCGGTCAAGGGCATGTACCTTGGTTGTGGGCACATCCCCAGTGGGGAGTATGCAGGAGGCAGCTGATCAATGTTTCTCTCTCTTCGATGCTCCCTTGTTCTTTCTCTGTAAAGAATCAATAAAACATATTTTTTTAAAAAGTGAAATGGAATCCAATTTTTTTGGTTTCTATTTGATACTTAACAGTTTAATACATACTCATGAGGAAACTATACAAATGGATTTTCCAGGCATTGGGGCTAACTGACCATATGCAAAAACGGGTTCAGGTAGGAATATGCCTAGTTTGTCCAGAGTTTGTCCTTGTGATTTATCAATAGTCATCACAAATGCTGGCATCGTGGGAAACCGTCGTCGAATCAACTTAAATGGGACACCAGAGTCAGATGGAGACAAATCAATTCTTGGAATCAGAACAGACTCTCCCTCTGCAGATCCTGTTAATACTTCAGCTTCGATAATGTTAGGTCATAATCTTTCGATAATAAATCTGGTACCATTACAAAGACCCCATTTACTATTGAGATTTCTCAATAGCATGATGATTGCACCCACTTTCAGTTCTAATTTATGACATGGCATTCCCAAAGGAGTAATACTATTAAGAAATTCGATGGGAAAATTTTTCTTTTCAGCATCATCTGTGGAATCAATGGAATCATCACTCAAATATGTGTGAAAATCTGCATCGAGTATATCCAAATTCTTTTCATTTAATTTTTGAACATGCTCATTTTTTGGACAAAGAATTGCACGTTTAGGTATATTTTTAATATTATCTCTAGCAGTGGTTCTCAACCTTGGCTGCACATTAGAATCACCTGGGAATCTTTTTAAAATCCTGATTCCTGGGCCTCATCCTCCAGAAATTGTTTCTTTGTTATGAGGTGGGGCCACAACATCAGTAACAAAGAAACAGAATTAAAATTTTATTGTGGGGAGCCGCTACTGTGTTTTGGACAGGTTCAAGCCTTGGACTGTTGAGTGGGCATAGTCCCTTCATTGCCACATGCAAGTCCCAGCTTGGAGGGCAGGGTCCTCCCAGCACAATTATAGCCAACAGCTGTAGTTGTAAGCTTCAACCTGTGCTCCGAACACGTGGTCCCACGTGCCTGAGTGATGTAGGCTTGATAGAGTTCAGGTGCATGTCGTCAAGTAGGACTGAAACCCAGGAGAATGTTGTAAACATCTTGGTCACACCCTTACTTTGCCTCGAGAATCTGCTATAAAATAAGGGCATGTCTCTCAGAGAAGCAGCGGCCCACTGAGACCGGTTTTCATTCTCTTGTCTGTCTTTTCTAAGCCTTTCAGCCGCCCCCACTCAGGTTCACCCTTGGCTGTGCTGGTACGGCACACTTTACAAAGATAATGCCTCCACCCTCCCAGGGCGGGTTCCTGCCTCAAACCCCGCCCTTACAGGAAACAGCTCTGGGAAACAGCTTGGGGGAGGGTGCAGCTGTTGCCAAGACAACCCCTGCAGGACTGACTTCCTTCCGCTTGGTCGCGGTGGTTCTGGACGTGA